TCAGATTTGGGGCTTTCTCTGTCTCTTTTTGAAACACATATAATTTAATTTGTTTAGTAGTGAGTTTAGATGGTTGAATTGTCAATTTCTAGGAACCTTTAATATGAAAGATGGAGTGGACTGGCCTGATTTGTTATTGTTATCATTATTATTGTTATGCATTTTTCAATCTTTACCGTGGCCCTGGTTAAATTTTGGAAAAGCTGTCTGGAATATTTAACCACATGATTAGCAGAGGCGTGGAGTTTACTGTGCTCAGCCTCGTTCCTCAGTTGCCTATGTAAAAGATTCTTATTGGCATCATTCTGAGGTCCGTATGAAGTGAGAAATACTGAAATGCTATAAAACAGTTTTTCCCTGATTTTAGAATGCTTTTTAGAATACTTTTCCAATAAAAATATGGGATAATTATAAATGGCTCTTGATTTTCATCCAAATAGTAGCTAAGTGGTTAAAATCAACACCAAAGTGCTTGCATTAGTCAGCTCTCCGTTGCAGTGATGAAATACCTGAGGAAATCAACTTTAAAAAGGAAAGGTTTATTTTGGCTCATGGTTTCAGAGGTGTTAGTCCATGATCCAAAACCTTTGTCCTTTGGTAAAGCAGAATATCATGGTGGGGAGCACATGACAGAATAGAGATGCTCATCTCATGGTGGTCAGGAAGCACAGAGAGAGAGAAGCAGAGTCAAAGGACATGATATGCCCTTCAAGGCTATGCCCTCCATACCAGTATCCTACAGCAAGGCCCCACCTCCCCATTTCCACCACCTCTCAATAGCGCCACCAGCTGGGGATCAAACCTTCAACACAGGAGCCCTTGGGGGACATTCCAGATTTTAAACTATTAACAGTGCTTTAAGAAAGTAGGGGGGAAATTGCTTTATCCCATTCATAGCTAACCTCAAGTATGAGACCAGAACTGAAAATCTGGGCAGTTATTTATTTGGTAGAAATCTTAATGCTTTCCCCAAAATTAAGATGATAGTATTTTATTGTTCCAAAATAAAAGGAACTTGGTTTAGGTTTCGGTTCTTATTGATTGACAATTTTATATGTTTTCATTTAGTTCTAGCAACTATATTCTGAGGAGTTATTTTCAAACATAAGACAAACACTATTTGAGAGAAAAACTAAGGTTAGATTTGAGAGTAACCCAGTTATATTTGAAGAGTATACACTTGCGTATTCAAGTTTATTCTCTTAGTCAACCAAGGTTGTGATATATATATATATATATATATATATATATATATACATGTTTTAAATGATATAAGTGTTATAAATAAGGGACAATGAAATCATGGTTCTTCTAATTTAGAAAGGATAATATAAGAAGCTAAAATTCTGAATTGTTGTAAGCATTAAAAAAATAAGTGACAAAGCTATAGAGACAAAAAAGAACACTGATTGTGAGTAGTTGAGGAGCAGAGAGAAGGGATGAATTAATGAATCTTACAGGATATTTTAGAGCAGGTAAATTCTTCTGTGTGACACTGTAATGGAGGATACATATTATGCCTTTTTGAAAATCTGTATAACTGTGTAACACAAGGTATAATCACCAACTATAGACTTTGGTTAACAATTATATATAAATATTGGTGTTTAAATTATAACACATGGACCATACTAATGAAAGATGTTAATATATATAACAAGAAAATAAGGGAATTAATAGAAGAGCTCTTTGTATTTTCTTCTCATTTTTTCTGTAAACTCCAATCTGCTCTAAAAAGATATTCTATTGGTTATAAAAATGCATTTGACTTAAAAAATAAATGTTTTTTCCTATAAGTTCACAAAGCATACAAAAGCAAAATGTCATACCAAAACACTTGCTTTTGTTTATTTTTTGTTTATCCTATTTGTAATAATCCTTGGAATTGAATAGTTTAAATGCAATGCTAAATTTTTTAAAAGATTGGATAAGAAATGTCCAACTTTGGCAAGATGAGAGACTCTCCCATGAAATATCCCTACATTAACATATCTCAAAATACTAAGTTAAACCTGAAAACCAGCCATTTTAATGTATGGATGACTTTCAAAAGATGAGGCAAGGTGAGCACATACTAAGTTGTTGGCCATCCTGGGGGCATATATAACAATAATCTCTATCTGGTTAGAACTTGAACAGTGATAGTCTACTGCATAGTTTTGGAAAAGAAATTCAATACCTTGAACCTAAAATGGGAAGGAAATTTGAAGGTCTAAATAAAGAATGGCAAAAGGTGATCTCAAAAGAAAGGGAAGAGTAGGAAAATATACTGATGAGTGCAATTACACATCTCAGCTGTCACTATCAATAGAAGGGATCTTGAAAGAAGGGAAAATCAAGGAAGCAAAAAAGAGGAAGAGAAGGGGAAGGGAAAGATAGGAACAAAGCTGAATTCCTCCTTCTTAAGAAATTATAATCAAGTTTTGGAGTTAGAATATATATGCCAAAACAAACAAAACTACTCCACAAGTTCTGATAATTTAAAATTGATTTGAGATGGTGGTATCCCAAATACCCCAGCAGAAGCAAACAAAATCACACTTTCCCAGGCTTCAAAGATAGATATCACACTCACTCCCACCAGTGCCTTAGTGAAGGTTGCTATAACAAAGTGTTATAGAATGATGGCTCATAGACAGCAGAAGTGTGTTTCCCACAGTTCTGAAGGATATTATCCCAAGATCAGTGTGCCCACGTGGTCAGTTTCTGGTGAGGACCTTCTGGATTATAGATTTCTGGCTTTTCCCTATATTCTCATATAGACAAAAGAGGCCAGAGAAGGCCTTTTATAAAGGCATTCATCTCATTTAGCTAATGGCCTAAAAGTCCACTTCCTGATACCATAACTATGGGAGTCAGTATTTTAATACATGAATTTGAAGTGGGAGTAGGGGTTGGGATGGCACACACATTCTGTCCATTGTACTGGAATTCCAAGATTTTTTTAGATATAAAGTTGCAGAGAATATAAAGCAAAAATATAAACAACAAAGAGGCAACAAATTAACCCTCTAAAACAAAAACAAACAAACAACCAGATAAACAACCAGATAAACAGAGGAGAATTAAGGGAACCATGAAGATGAATCAGGAGACACAACAATTAGCAAACTAAACTGGAAGAATTCAGAATTTGGATACAGAACACAAAACAATTATGCTAAAAAAATAAAAGCAAGAACAAGGAAGAAGAATCATTTTTTAGAAAATAATTAGGAAGTTGTGTGCTATAATTAAATAGAAACTGTGGAATTAAATAATACATTCACTGAAGTGAAGGTATGCATAGAGGAATTAAACAGGAGAGTGGAGCCATCTGAAGAGAGAAAGTCTGGAAGATAGATTTAAATAAAAAACATACACATTGCAGGACAGAAAGAGATGGAAATATGAAAGAAAACTCAAGAGACACTGAGGATATATTGGATAATAATGTCCTCATACATATAATTGAATTCCAAAATAAACAAAAAGAAAATAATTTTATTTCAGTAAATTTAAACTCCTAAAGGAACCAAATTCCTAGAAAAATATAATCCAGGAAAATATAGAATGCATGAATAGTCCTATAATCTCTTACAATTCAATCAATATTTTAAAATTTTCTCAAAGAATGCAGGACACATATGGTTTTGCCAGAGCTGTCTACCTAATCTTCTTTTCAGATAATGAAAGAGATACAGCAAGTGAAGAACTACATCAAATTTTACATGATCAATCCGAGAATGAAAAATTATAGATTAATGCCATTCATTAATATAGGTGAAAAATTCTAAACAGCATTAGTAAAACAAACCCAGATGTGTATTAAAAAGATATTAATCATGAATAAGTTTATTTTATTCCATAAATGTAATATTAGAAATATTAATAGATGTAACTCACAACACTACAAATTGTAGGAAAAAATACCATCCATGTAGAGAAAGAATTAAATTAAATTCTATAACCATTTGAATAAAAACTCTAATTCAAGCTAGAAATAGAAAGTTCCCTCCTTATACTGAATGAAACCACAATAAGCTGACATTATTTATTCATCCACTTTGCAAATCATACCAAATGTTGGCAAGGATGTGACTGGACTGGAATTCTTATACACACAGCTTCTAAGACTGGGGGTTGGCAATAGCCCTTTGGAAATAATCTGGCATTGTTTAGCAGATTTTCACTCAACAGTTTCATTCCATTCTTACATATGTGCACCAGAAGACTTGCATAAGAATATTCATAGCAACATTGTTTGTAATAACAAAAAAGGAGAATTTTTTTTTGAAACAACAAAAACAAAATCTGTTAATAGTAGAATGGGTAAATAAATTCTATAGACATAAATTGACCTACTGACAGCAGCAAAGGATCCTGATTTCATACAGGGAAGGCTGATACTATCTGAAAGGGGGATATGGGGGGCTTCAAAGGCATTGCTAATGTTATTTGCCCTAAAGTAGAAGATGAATAAGCAGATGTTCCTCATATTATACTTTATAACATATATAGATATAATTTATGTTTTACTTATCAAATATTTCATAATAAAATAATATCTATAAAGACCTAATGTGATAGCCAAGTAATGTGAGGTGAGGTATAAAACACTTCCTTTTATAATAAACTAAAGGCACATGATGGAGGTGGGAGGCACATGGGAAGCAAATAGGATAGTTTGCCTTGTTAACATCAGCTGAGTAATATTCAAGTTTTTCATCCAGATACATGTAGCATGTGTCGTAAGAGACCGTACTGGGCACTGGTAAAGAGCCAGATGGGTGCAAGTCTTGATTGTGATACTTTTTAGCTGTGTAATCTTGGGCTTTGATTCCCTCCTCTGTAAAGGAGATAATAACAGGACCAAACCAAAAAGTTTTTATGAGCACTACATGTGTTCTCACTGGAAAGGCTGAGAAAGTACTTACACAGAATAAATGCTCACTGTTAGATTCTAGTGGTCATTTTCTTTGATTTAATGCTTTTGAAATGTTCTGTTTGTGTCACGGTAGGCTTTGGTCATTTGACGGAGCAACTGATGACACTGGCTGATGGACGTGTGGTGTTGGCTCTGGAAGGAGGACACGATCTCACGGCCATCTGTGATGCGTCGGAAGCCTGTGTAAATGCCCTTCTAGGAAATGAGGTAAAATTTACAAGTGCAAAAGAGTCAAATAAAAGGCTTAGACATGTATGAATGCATATTTTAATGTCTTTTTAAAATTCCACTTACTTATAAAACTCAATTTTGTTCTTGTCTTTAAGGAAGTAAGCAAGCTATGAATAAGTGCAATTTAACAGCTCTCATGTTATATATGCTACAACTTTTTTTTCCAGCCACAGAATCCACATAGTACTCCCTTCACACAACTCAAAAATGAGTAAAGATAAACTCTGGGAATAAGACCCAATCAAATGAACATTAAAATGTTCAATAAGAAATGAAATTTTAACATTGTTTCTTTTTTAAGATTTTTTGTAGGATTGTCAGTTCAGAAAAATAAAACTTTTAGAAATATTGATAATCTACTTTTATCATCATTTAAGAATTCTCCATAATAAGAAGGGAATATTATTTAAAAAGTTGAGAAATCCATTGATCTAATGCATGCAGCCAGAATGCCTTAGATCCAAGATTTGAGCTTGAATGTAAATAGCTATAGGTCTTTCTTTTTTATTTAATACTACATAATTAAATTGAAGTACATTTTACTGACCACTCTGCAGAATTAGGACTGAATTTCTGTGAGTTTTATGTCCAAATCCTGACAAACTTTTGGACCAATTAATTGCAACTCAAAAAAGTATTTCAGAGAAGGATGCAGTGGCACATGCCTGTAATCCCAGTGACTTGGGAGGCTGAGGCAGGAGGACTGCAAGTTCAAAACCAGTCTCATCAACTTAGCAAGGCCTAAGCAAATTAGTGAGAACTTGTTTCAAAATAAAAACATTTGAAAAAAAGTATGGGGATGTAGCTCAAGTATGGTTAAGCAACCCTGCGTTAAATTTCTAGTACCCTCCAAAAGTCCAATTCTGTATGCATTAATATTATAATTCACTTATTATAATTCACTTATTTGATAGTGTATGAAATTGTATATATTTTGCCTTTCTTTTGTGAACTTGAAATATAAATTTATTTATGAAATAAATATATATTTTTTAAAATTATCATTCATATTGTTTTAACAGTATCACATGGGTTTGCCTATAGTATTTATGGAAAAAAGGTACCTTTTTCCTTGCATTGAACATTTATCTTTTATTGTCATCATTATCTTATAAATCTATACTGTTTTGACATCATTATTTTGACATATTTATTGAATTAAGCATATATATTTTTAATTCAAAATAAAAACATTAGAGAGAAAATCTGATAACTTCTCAAGTGCTTTACATATTGGGCTGCATAATTTTAGACAGCAAAATAACCCACAGGATGCAATTACATAATGATTAGTGTCAACAATGGACTTCTGCTGTTTCAGATCACACACAAGTCAAGGTTTCTAGGATTCCCTTAAAAGGTAGAATCTTTTTCATTTTCTTGTGATCCATCAACATCAAAAAGAATGTTGGATTTTTTTGGTGTGGCAATAAAGATGCAAAAAATAAATGATTACCTATTTTATCAGCTAATATGTTCTACTCTGCCTGAACACCTGATAACATCTTTTGCACGTCCTGTGTATATTCAGATCCCCTATTTGATTTTAAATACTATAGAAATATTTTAGAGAAGCAGACTGGTTTTAATATTTGCATTATAAAGGCTTACACCAGATGTGCAGAAAATCAGAATAGGTTGTGGATTATGGCTACTGATGATTGACCTGCTCAGAAAGAAATGTTACCTGGCTCCAAAAGCAAATTACTTTTCTGACTAAGTGGAAGGAAATTACAGATTTCAGTGGCTCTCTTTGAACACCCCATTCAAATGAAATTCTCATTTTGCTATTGTAATCTCTGCACTTGGTCCAACTCTGTTCTTTCAAGAGAGTATTTCCAGTGAGGATGGAATAATCTCTTCTATGATCCCTCTCTTTAAGAAATGATTAGGTTTCAAAACAGATTCAGCTGAGTGCAGTTACATGGTTTTTAAAATGTTTTGGGCTAAAGTTTGAGATCTGTGCCTTTTCTCTGCATTTTTAGAAAGACCAGGCAGGTACAAAAATATCAATGGTCATTCTTAATTCTGCCCACAGGGGTGTAGACATTGCTCAAAAAATTCCAGGAAATGAAAACCGAAATGATTATTTTTGGCTCTATTGACTATAAAATTGACTTCAATTTTCTGGATGTCTGACATTAAGTTTAATGACGTTATTATAATACCCTAAATATGATCCTGTCTCTTGATTGGCCATCTTCAATTGAGTGAGCACAACCAAAAATTTGTTCATTGTGAAATAAAGGAAGTTTGAATAATCTAATCTTTCTGTATTTTTTTCTATTAAAGTTTCTTAGAGTCGTACACAAGAATATAGATTTCTCACAAGATACTGTGAGGACGACAGATGGAGTTGTTACATTGAATATTGAAAGGGAAATTTTTTTTTATAACAGGTCTATCAGTGCACAGAGGAACAAAGCTAAGAGAAAGAGGATTTTTTTAAAAATGAAAAATGGAAGAAAAATACAAGTGTGTTGTACGTTATAATTCATTTGGAAAAAGGAAATGAAAATGTAATACTTGAAACAACTCAAGAAACAAAGAGTTCTTCTCACTTTCATTGACAATATAATTTATAATCCAAGGCCTGGTTTTTGGTATTTTTTTCCAGGTCAAAGATCATCATGACTGCATTGAAGTTTTAAATTTCATTCCTTTAGAAAAAATAATATAAAAGGCAGATTGCATGTACCTCACCATTTAAAAGGCGCATACATGCAGTTTTTACAACAATTTTATGTGGTGAGCTTTAGGTAAGAAAATAAAAGAGATGTCTTTCAGATACCAATTATTGCAATTTCAAATCCCAATTTCCCTCCAAACCTCCTTTTCAAGTGATTAATAGAGCAATTATAACTTATTATCTGGGATTTCGCTTTTACAAATAACAAAAAATGTACTAAACCTTGAGCTTAAAATACTGGCAGAACCCACTCTGGCTTCTCAACACTGAACATGCAATTGAACTCAAATTAGAAAGGTCAAGAAGGGCCTTTTTGAGGGACTCTGCACTTTGTCAGATGTATTTATTCATGTGCAGAGGATTAGAATTCATAAACATTTTGCCAGTTTTTTTTTTAATGCTATTTCTTTTCCTTGTTGTTCTTGGCCAGGCCATGTCAATATAGCAAAATACTGCTTCTTATGGCTTATTATCAGCAAAATAATATGTAGTTCATAACCCAAAGGAATTGTAAAATCGGCAGGATCTGTTGGCTCTTCCACTTGGTGTAGACACATAGATGGGTACCAAAACTCTTGATGTTTAAGAAATCAAGTTATCTGAGTGTTGTACCCCAAACCAGTATTTTCTTCTTTTTAAATATTTTTATCACAACATGATCTACTTAGCAAAACATCTCTTAACTATTCTTTTAAGAAATATGCACAAGGTCAGTCAAAATAATATACTGTTGAATTAAAAATAATTTGGGCATGGTACAGGAAATTCCTAGAGGCAACTGATTTGGAAGACATACCAGAGTCTTTTTTTTTTTTCCTTTTCCCTGGCAAAGTTTAGAACTTAGATTTATTGGTCCAATCAGTGTTTGATGAATATTTTTGAACTTCTTCATTGAAGCGCTTAGAAACACCAGCTTGGGATTTGCAAGAAATTGAAGAAATATCTACATGAAAAGAATCATGAGTTTACTTGGAAAAGCATCAGGGATACTTAAGTGAATAGCCACATAATTTTTAGAACTGGTAATAGAATTCCCCGGGGAATCTGATTTTGGTAATCTGTATTGGAGCTGGTTGGCAAACAGTGTCACAGTTGCTTTAAGACCAAATTTACCTACTGTTATGCAAAGCCAATTAGTGGCACCCTGGGTTGATTCCTCTGAAAGAAATTTTCCCAAGAGGTGAGAAAAACTTTAAGCAGTTGCCATTCCTATGGAATCCAAAAGGAAAACATTGAAAACCTTGGAGAAGTAAAGGATGGGAGATAGGTAGTAGGAGCATTGGTAGTGAGCTGAGAACATAGAGGTTAGAAGACCACCTGTCAAAACACAATAAATGATGGCTTTAAGCTTGAGAGGGAGTGAGCCAGAGAGAGAGAAAAACTCACATCGTCTTAGACCTGAAAGCTGTTGAGATAGCCTTGTGACCTCTAGTACTGAAAGTTTAGTGCTTTTGCTCAGGAGTATACAATATATATATTTTTTTCTAGATCTTCCTCACTCTTTTTGAAGTTTGAATTCTGATTTCTGTTTCCTTTCTCTCTTCTTCTTCTTTTTCTTTTTTTTTTTTTTAAATAAGTACCATCTCCTGTTGAGTATGCTTAGCTGCTTTCATTTGACTTGGATTTCACAAACAGTGGCTAAACAGTGATGGTGTTTGTTGATAATCTTTTTAAGATGACTTTTTGCTCTAAAGCTGCTGGAAAAGTCTCTTGAATTGACGCTAGTGAGTGTTGACAACCACCCCTGAGGTGAACTCTTGAGATGCCGTTGTCCAAGTTGCTCATCAGGGGTCCGTTTGCACTGGATTTTGAATAGGGAAGTTGTTTTGCCCTCTTTTTCATCCTTTAGATTATGTATGGCTGAAGTGTAGTCCATTGGGGAATTGGTGTGAATCTGGGAAAGCTTACAAGGTCCTAAATGGTTCCAATTCATGAATAAAAGAGAGAGCCGAATACCAGGGAAATGTGTGCTATGCCAGAGCAGTGTGTTCGGTCTTCTTTCAGACACTGAAGTGTCTCCATACTTTGAAAGAGAATTTATCAATGATCTGAAAAGAGGAAAACTGTTTTGGAAAATATGACTTAAAGATACTTTCCAGTGTAGATATGGCCTATGAAGTTATGTTCCGTATATTTCAGCATTGCTTATGAGAAAGCAAGCTGTCTGTTTCAGCAAATGCCAAATGAACCATTGATATTTTGATAATTCAAAACTCCATTATGCAGTTCTCCTGTATTATCTGTTTAGGTTTTTCAGGAGCTATTAAAAGAATTGTGGGTTGTGAAA